CCGACCGAGTAAATGGATCGCTATCCTGCCTTCAAATCTTCCCGATATTGTTTTCGAGCTGCTCGCACCTTGGGATCATTTGTATCTCCCCATCTCGGGTCCGTAGAGGAGGTCTTTTTGGACGAGTTGCCAAAAGACTTTTTCTTCTTCTCCGACGTCGGCTTATGTCCCTGGGAGGTGAACGTGAGGTCAGGGACCGACATACTCTCTTTGGCAATCACGTGGTTCTGCGCTCGGATCAAGAACTCCTGGAACGTGCTGGGCTTGTTTTGGCAAAGTGCCCAACTGAACATCGATTTGGCTTCAGTCCCGAGATGGCGCTCACCAGAAGAGTTTCAGGGTGGCATGGTTTAATATTCTGCACGCGTTCATTGAAGTGTGCGACGTACTCCTTCAAGCTTTCGTCATCCTTTTGGACGATGTTGGTTATCGACTCTTTTGGAATTAGACAGACTTGTGCTCCAATGAAGTGGGAGCGGAAGGCCGACTGAGTTAAACCCAATGTCAGATGGACAGCGCCGGTAGCAGTAATACCACTTTTGGGCTTTTGGTCCCAGAGTTAGGGAGAACATACGATACCTGAGGGCGTCGGTGGCCCCATGTAGGTCCATCCATGGAATAATGGCCGAGAGGGGCGTCGGGATCAGACGTTCCGTCATAGAGGCCGATTTGTGGGACTTTGATTTTTCCAGGCAGTGGCTCTAAAGTCAACTCGGGAGACAATGAAGAATCCGTTTCCACATATACATGGCCTGTCTCTTGAGCGTGTGGGTTGAGGAGCGACCTTATTCCTCGGGTTTGCAAAGTTTCAAGCTCGGCGACCCTTCTTCTCAGGGCTACCATTTCGGGGTTGTCATGTCTAGTTGTCCGGCCCCTCTCTATTTGATGTCGAAGGTCGGTCGGATTTCCCGTTGGCCTGAATAGGGGTCTGGCGACGGCGGTTTCCCTTCGAATGTGCCCGGATTGGCTCTCCGCCGTCATTTCCTGCAGATTCTGCTCTTGAGGATTCATCGTCTGGGCAGGAGGTCGTTGGGCGGCGTCGTCCCTAGGTTGGGACGTCGCGTGTGAGAGAGTTTGGTTTTTCGCGCCTGGCTGCAACTGCTGCGCCACCGGTCTGGCCGGCGCAATAGGCGCAAGTGATTGTCCCAGCACGGTTCTCGAGGTTCCCGGCATGGTCTGTGCCAATAACGCCGAGAAACCCTTCGCGAACTCGGGTTCTGCATGAGCGTCGCGAGATCCGGTATTTTTGTCGTGTTTGGCTCTACCGATAAAAGGGATTGGGCCACGACTTTCCCCTCCCCTCGTTGTCTGATCGTCTTGTCCTGAATGCGCCATTGCTTTGTGTTTTCGCGCTAATGAGTTCAAAGATGCTGGATTCAAAGATTGACCTCAAGATATATTATGAGCCCTTCTTCTAGCACCAAACTGTTGATAAACGGATTTGATCAACTTTAGAAATGTAAATATTGGGGATAAGTACGAAATTAAAGTGATTTTATTCGTTTAATGGGATATTATTGAGAATAGTCAAAAGTCGATATTTCGGACTTGAGTTCGGGTTTTGTTCTTACAGTGAGTCGGTTGTGAGTGCAAACGGAGGTGTTTAATGCGGAATTTAATGTGTCGGAAAAAGATCCTCGTATCGTGTTTAATGTCGCTATTTATAGTAACTGTGGGCTCGTCTTTTCATGAGATACGGCGGCATTTAATGCGGTGTGACAGAATAGGCCTGGCTCTCCCTGCACGTGGGTCCCATAGCAATGATGTTCTCACGTGGTCCGAGACATTTGATAGACAGACATTAAATGCTACCTGTCGGTACCGACGTCAACCTTTATTTAAATCACCTATATTGAGGAGGTCGGCGTCTTGAAGAGGTCGGTTTTTTCAGCTCGGGGATTTCTCTTTTCGGCGCGACTCCTGAATTCCTCCATGATCCACGTGTCGTTCATCCGACGTGCGAGAAGATTCTTATGTCAACATGGACCAAAAAATAATCTTTATTCTAGGCTACAAATACTTGGTCAAACATATAACAATATTTTGTTGGATTGTGGTTTTGAGAATACGGTTAATCTTATTTACAATTCCCACATAAATTATCACTTATCAACTCATTGTTTCTATTTGTAATATATTTTTCATTGAAAATAAATGTTTCATCGCCGCTCATCTTAACTATGTCTTATGTAGTACTTTATCAACTCATTTGTTTTGACATTCTATTTTTTTCCTCATTCAAATCAAGTGGTAATTAGCAATATATTCAGATAATGTGGTTGCAAATACTATATCACAATCCTGGATCCAAGAAGTAAATGAAGCTATAAAAGTGTTTTTGTCAATTTCCACTTACCATTCAAGAAAGAATATATTGTCTTATAACTTTTTATACAATCTAAAACCATTAAAAGTACTTTATGTTATGGAATAATAAATATACCTACTATCACATAATCTTCAAAAATGTACATTTACCAATAATTCATCTCGAACTTCTCTATAAATATTATCATTCTTGTTATTTAAATATATGGGTATAGTTGAAAAATTGTATTCACTTACACTTTTTCCACATACTTTCCAAGTAAATGTTAATACTATTTATAATCTTTATATTTGAAAATTTTTATTCACTTATACTTTTTCCACATACTTTCCAAGTGAATGTTAATACTATTTATAATCTTGGCATAATGTATTTCTTTTGATGCATTTTTTTTTCAAAAAAAATTAATCTTCAAACATCGCATGAGAGTATGTAATTTAAAATATTTTTGCATTTGTTCAAGTATATACACCAATAGTACTGTAAATATTTTTTCTTACACATTTCAGAAAAAAAAAATTACTTCATTAGAAACACTCATGAATCTTTTGTCAGGTTTTGGTGGTTTTTTTTTTTTTTTTTTTTTTTTTTTTTTTTTTTTTTTTTTTTTTTTTGTGTATTACTTATTTGAGAGAATGTGAACTCAAATTGTAAAATTTTTGGTCGTCTATCTTGATTCAAGAGTAGCATTTCATAATATCTTTCAACTTCAAGCTAAATTCAAAAATTCTTCGTGTTGCTTCTTGGGCAAATACCATTTGTGTACCTTGAAACTTTCTGATTTAATCACAGGGTGGATCTAAAAATTTGTACGAGTAGGGGCCTAAGTTATTTATGTAACTAACTGCGCGAATTAGAAAATGAAATTATAGGTTGCAATTGTATATACTTTTTTTTTTTAGAATAACTATTAATCACAAATATAATTTAAAGTTATTTTCATGGAAACTTGTATGTTTACGTGAAATATTAATTAACTAAAAATGTTGATTATAAGAAATCCAAATTTAAGCTAAATAGGATAAAAAGTAATGATGCCTAAAAATAAAAATAAATAAAAAGTAATTAATGATGGTTAAACAAAATGCTATAAGTCATTTATCATTTGAAGAGAGAAGTACAATTACATCTTCTCAAATACACCTACATACATAATGCAAATTAAATTATTTATTAATTAATTTATGTATATACATAAGTAATATTTGAAAAATTCAGCATGGGCCTAGGCCCACACTCGTCCCTTAATGGCTCCGCCCTGTATTAATCGATCAAATTTCCATTAATACTTTGATTAATATTAATTTCTATAGAGTCATGTTCTTTATAAATGTATTTATCAATAAACTTCACTGTAATGGTTCTTAAACATTTCTTTACATTGTATCTTAATAGTATGTATGTGTTCAAAGGTACTACATATTGATTGTCTAGGTGAATGTTGTGAACTTGATCTGTTACACCATTCTCATTTTTCTGTAAATTGAGACTTATCAAAGTTAATGAGTCCAAGATACATTTGTCAATTGGGAATACAACACAATATATTCAAACTTTATGATTATGTGATTATTATAAGGTACTTCTTAGCAAATTTTCTATAGAAATAATCAACCGTATTTTTCAAATCGATGATGTTTTTTTAAACATTGTAATAACTATATTTTTTACACAGTTCAAGTAAAAATCAAACTTTCAAAATATTTGTTACATTATAAACTACATGATAAAATCGCCACATGTTGTATGAAAGGATGTACTCTAGAGTAATTTCACATATTTTTGCGCTCAATACATCAATGAGGTCGAAAATAGTACCAACTACAAAATCCTTTATTTGCAAATCAATGACACATCTTAAACCCGCAACACGATTAAAGAGTTGTTCTTGTAGCGCCCCACTTATTTCAAATAGACGTTGTTCTGATTTTATTTATAAATAATAATAAATAAATATAACTATTTAAAGTTATTGGTATTATTATTATCATCATTGGTAGCCTAATTAAATTTTACCAACAAGAATTAATGGTAAGAGTTTTAAAAGGTACGTGATAAGATTTAAATTTGTAAAGCTATTAAAATAAATAGGAATGGATTATAGTTAATTAAATAAGATTAATTGAGTACCTCTATCTTTAGTAAAATAGCATATATAACCAAAGTTTACACTATAAAAAGAAACTTAGCTATTTTAAAACTATTACATAAGATAAGTACTATAAGATCATTATTTATGGTATCTGATTTATAATTGGCATACCATCAAAATAGTGGTAATTGTAAACGCTTTCCCAACACCATACTTCAAATTGTTGGGGAGTGCCAAAGTGAAATAAGAAAGAGAGAAACAAAAGGAACACAAAAGAGAAAAGAGAAAATTAGAGATTCTAGATGTTGTTGTTGCTACCAAGAGTGAAGGTTTAAATCTTGATGTTTATTTGTTCCTCTAGTTGTACTAGAGAGGATTTGTAGTTATGCCCATTATTTTTTATTGTGGAAGAATTAAGCAGCCTATGGATCCCGTGATTTTTACTCTCGTTTGGGAGGATTTCCATCCTAAAATTTCTGGTGTTTCGCTGTTGCGTTTTGTTAGCGTTATTTATTCTCTAGTTGTATTGTTTGTCGGTTGGTTTGTTGATTTGAACAAATATATGTATTAAAGTTCTCCCTAATAAGTGGCATCAGAGCCTACGTTGAGTGGTTGAAATTTGTTCAAATCATCATGGAAGGGAATCCTGAGTAGAATGGTTACTTTTTTTTTTCAGTACTGAAAAGGAGGCAAAGCCTAAGTAACAATCAAATAACTACGTTCCGCGGGTGCGACACACCAAGAACATCATGTGCCAGCCATGGTTTGACGTCACTCGGGGAATGCTGTAAAACATGGAGCCCGCCGGGGCTGTGTGTAGCCAAAGAAGCCAAAGAATCCGCTGCAAAGTTAGACTCACGCCAATCGTGGAGGAGACGTACCTCTCAATTCCTCGCGATGAGATCCCGGATACCGCGTACCAAACTCCCATGGGCGCCCACCCCATTATGGTAATCCTTGACTATGCGTACCACACACTGCTATCAATGGATGCAACCACTCTACGAAACCCCATATTCCACGTGAGAGATAAGGCCTGAAATAAGCCCCACAGCTCAGCACCGTTATCGTCGAGAAACCAATGTTCATAGCGAAACCCCCCAGCCAATGGCCGAAACAGTCGCGAATTAAACCTCCAGCAGAAGCCAAGCCCGTCAAACCGTTAAAGGAGCCATCAAAATTTGCTTTCACCCACCCCTTCGGGGGCGGTATCCATCGGACCATCCGCACCTCTCGGCGGATTGTACTCGACCCACACTGGCTCGCATGAGCCAGGGCCATAAAAATATTCCGCATATGCATCCGGATCTCGTGAGCCCTTCGAACCACATCAACGGCTTCATTATTGAAAATAAAAGAATTACGGGCATGGAAAATCCTCCACATCACGATTCCAAACACACACGGCCAAATTTCAAAGCCATACAATCCCAGAGCGGAGAGGTGGGAGATGAGCCAATCCTCGAGACTCATGCTACAGAACGTAGAAAAATCACCTCCCGGTACGAAGGAGCGCCAAATCTGATTCGCACCATCACAGTCACGTAGTGCATGAAGAAGGCTCTCCTCCGGTCCACCACAGAGAGCGCAGCCGGGAGAAGGTGCAACATGGCGGCGAAACCGTTCACTGTTCGTGAAGAGACGACCCTTGGCCACAAGCCACAGAAATTGGCGAATACGTTGAGGGTCGTCCCATTTCCAAACGAGCTTCCACAACCTTGTCGTCCCCACAGCCACCGGAGCTACGAGAGAAGAGTACGCCGATGTGGTACTGAAACTCCTGTTCGCTGAGAAGCCCCAGTATAAAAGGTCACGACCGTTCGACTGAGGTGGAAGTTGTGCTGCGAGCCGCAGCAGGGAAGTTGCTGGCAGGAGGTTAGAGAGAGTATCTCAACGCCATTGGCCCACCGTCGTCGTATAGTTGGCGACCGTACAGGTACTTTGCCGCTCCGGGATGGTGATGTCGGTGCAAGCTTGGCCCAACCTCACGTCCGAATGTAGCCAGGTGTCGTGCCAAAACTGAACACGAGTGTTGTCCCCAATCGACCAGCGCACTCCCCGAAGCAACTTACCCCAAATCTGTCCCAGGCCCCACAAAGTTGACGAACCCATAGGCAATGTCTCCATGAGCAAAATCTGTGGCTGCGATAATTGATATTTGGCTAGCACAACCCGTACCCACAGTGAGTCCGATCGCGTTAGAAGGCCCCAGCCCAGTTTCATGAGGAACGCGTCATTCGTACGACGCATGCATTTTAGACCCAAACCACCTTCATTTTTTGGCCGACACACTCAGCCCAAGGTACTAGAGAAGGCTTACTATGCGAAGTTATGCCACCCCAAACAAACCGACGACACTTCTTCTCCAAATCATCTAAGATCGACCGAGAAAGCCATGTCGTTTGCATCAAGAAACAAGGTAGAGTATTAATAAAGGACTGCGCGAGTGTCACCCGTCCGGCCAAAGAGAGAGTAGCAGCCTTCCAACCCGCAAGGCGAGCCTCCGCCTTATCAAGAATCTCAGTATACATGCATTGTTTCACCCGCTCGTGCACTATCGGCATCCCAAGGTACTTACCGAGATTATCAATTTCAGTAAATCCCATAGAGTCGGCTAATACCTGCCTGAGAGGGCCAGAAACATGTTTGGAAAAAAAGACGCGTGTTTTGGCATCGCTAACCTTCAAGCCCGAGAGGTGGCAAAAATCATCCAAGACCTGCTTAACCAAGGCCGTTTGGTCCAGGGAAGCCTCCATAAACAACATGAGATCATCCGCAAAAAGTAAATATGGGACTGCTACTCGGGAGTCACCCCGACCCACACATACATGTCGCGAGGATTGGTCCGTCACTTTGCTGGCAATGAGGTGGGCTAACCGTTCGATACAAAGGACGAACAAATACGGTGATATCGGATCACCCTGGCGTACCCCACGCGTTGGATTGAAAGCTTCAGTAGCTTTCAATCACTTCCCCGTTAAAGAGAAGACTCATGGAAGCGGACCGCCACACAAGTCATAACTAAACGAACGTAAGGCGAAGGAAAGTGAGCCGAAAGTAGATTCGCCTCGAGGAAATCCCACCGCACAAAATCATACGCCTTCTCCAAATCCACCTTGACCACCATATATCACGATTTGCCAGACTTACGATTCATGGAATGAATTAACTCCTGGGCAATGACAATATTATCCGTGATATGGTGGCTGGGAATGAAACTCACTCAGGTCGGGCCAATTAGCTTAGGCAATAAACTCTTCATCCGATTAGCCAGCATCTTGGTAATGAGCTTATAGACAACATTCAACAAGCTGATGGGTTGAAAGTTTTTTATGCTCTCCGGGTTATGGACCTTAGGAATAAGGAAAAGGAGAGTGGTATTCACCGAGGAAGGTAAGACCCCATGCTGAAAGAAGCCTCGAATAATCGCACACACAGAAGGGCCCACAATAGACCATTGTTTTTGAAAGAATAACGCATGCAAACTGTCGCTCTCCGGAGACTTCAAAGGGTGCATCGCCATCAGGGTTGTAAGCACTTCCTGATCCGTAACTCGCGGTTAATCCATGAATAGTCAGACACCCCTAGGCCCGGAAAGAGATTTGGAATGTGCACTCCTGCATCCGGCACATCCCCTGCCATGTATATCGATTGAAAATAGTCACGGACCATCTGCTGAAGCTGGTCGTGGTCCGAGATAACATTCCCGTCAAAGTCCCGCAGAAAAAGAATCTTGTTCCTGTGACGACGGGATTTGACCGAATTATGATAAAAGGTTGTGTTGCGGTCTCCAAAGAGAGACCATTCCCGTGTGGATTTCTGAAGCATTAAAGAGTTCCTCATGGGCCAAAGTTTCCTCAAGCTCCTTCTGCAAGTCGGACTCCAGACGGGAGAGCCGAGGGGAGGAGTGGGACTGCAAAGCACGCTGAATACCCCCCCAATCATTGTCGAAGGCGATGTTTCTTATGGAAAATGTTACCAAATACATCACAGTTCCACTTAGTGGCGGCGGTGGCGAATTGGACGGTCGCTTGCTCATAGTATCCGGGCGGTTCCCACGCATTCGTAACCAAATCCGCCAAAACCTGCATGACCCAGCCATGCAGCTAGGAAATGAAAAAGTGTCGTTCGCTTTCGTCCCCTGGTCGGCAAGCACCAACGAACTAACAATGGATGATGATCGGAACACCGTCTTGGAGGATGGAGGACAAGCGCCTCGGGGAAAAGATTGAACCACTCGACATTTGCAAGGTAACGGTCTAACTTCTCCTGGACTGTGCCCCGGACCCATGTAAACTGCAGCCCATCCGTCCGGAGCTCTTGTAGTCCACTCTCGAAAACCCAGTCAGAGAAGTACTCATCTACAGAGTTGCGTCTGGTGGACCCGTCTGACTTCTCTGAGTGCCGCAACATACTATTGAAGTCATCACCAATTAACCAAGGTTCCTGAACAGGAGTGGCCAGAATGCCCAAATCAGACCATAGCGCACGCCTACCCAGAGGATGAGGGCAGGCATAGACAAAAGTGACTAGGCTGGCAATACCGTCCTTTTGTACTTTCGCAGAGTAAACTATTTACGATACGTGATAACCGTCAAAGCCACACTCTCCTTCCAAAGGATCCAGATACCCCCAGAGAAGCCCGACGCCTCGACACGAAAAGATCTATCGAAGCCACTCCTCCGGATGAAGTTATCAGCCTGTAGTCCACTAATACGAGGCTCCATCAGTGCGACAACATCAGGCTTAAGCGTAAACCTAAGGTCTTTAAAGGCTCGACCAAATTGCCTCGAGCGGGCACCTTGTACATTCCATGAAAGAATATTCATAAGGAAGCTAATCGGAGTAGAGATACAGATCCCTATTGCACACGGGATTCGAGACATCCCAACGGTTCCGCTCCCGGCATCTCGGTGTCACCTAAGGAGTGACTCATGGCTTCTCGGGGGTCAGGACGGCCAGTCTTCATGGGGGTTGCAAACGGGCGTTGGCTCAGATATGTACTTTCCGTCTCGGTTATATTGTCTAGGATGGTATCCTGGGCCACCTCTTCTCCATCATCTGGCGGGTCGGGGTTATCCAAAACCACCACTGCTGAATAACCAAGGCTGTCGAGTGTCCCATGGAGACTTCCATTGGTGTCATAGTTTGTTGGGCCGTTGGCGTAGGCGGGGTTCCGGTGACCAGGCCCCGAGGTCCAGAATTTCTTGTAGATTGTATAATCCACTTATCTACACCCTCAAGGCCGCTTCAAGAAGGGCCCTCTGTTGGCCCCGACGAGGTAAACTTAAAGAGACCAGCCGACACTTTAGCGGCAGACACCGATCGTTCTCCAAAAGAAGTCCCCTGCTTGGGCCTCCTCTGCTCAGTGTTCGCAACTGCCTTACCCTTTCTCTGCGGAGCAACGCCTGCACCAGGCTCGTCTTTCTCTGTCGCGTCCATAGATGTATCCCCCGGCTCCGTGGCCAATAAACCTTAACAGGAGCCACTGTCAGTATTTGCAGCCTTCGGCTTGGACGAGTGATCCACGCCGCCAGTTCTCCGAACACCGGAAGGTCGTCCACGCATTTTGGCTACCATCCACTCCCCATAGCCCGTTTGGGCTGGTGGGGTCTCGGTCGCCGGTTTGCTCCCACCCGTGGAAGCATTCTCCGATCGTTGGGGACACGAGCCGACATTATGGCCATACCGCCCACAGGCGAAGCAAATGTGCAGTAAGATCCACTGAACCTTATTACGAATAGTAAACATCGCCCGCAAGTTTTCATGAGGTCCAATTGAACTGCCAAATGGGCATATTGTCCCCGTGTTACCACCGCCGTTTGGTGATCAATTTTCAGAACCTTGCCCACAATCTGGCCAATCGTGCGGAATATCTTCTTATGGTAGAGATGGATTGGCATTCCAGGCAAACGAATCCATGCCACTATCGAACGAATCGCGTCGGTCGAGACGTCAAATTCCTCAGTCCATGGTTGCACATGTAAATAATGTCGGTCAATGAACCAAGGTCCTCCAACTAAGGCTCGAACTGCATCCTCGTGTGAGTTGAAACGAACCAGAAAATACCCATTTTGCATGTCAATCATCATCTCCATTCCCAACTGTCCCGGCCATATGGGGACTAGCCAGTTATACAAAGATTGCAGCCCAATCGACTTCTCTAGCAATTTGACGATCACGGCATCCTTCCAGGGTTTAATGCAAGAGGCATCGAAATTCGGTGATAGGTCGATATTTGGCTCAGGTGGGGTAAAGTCGACAGTAACATCATCATCCTCCCCGCCATCCTCGTTGTCAGACACCAAATCCTCATGAGGGGAGCGGCTATTGGTCAAAGTGTCGCGAAAAGAGAGTCGGGGTTTAGGGCCAAGGGGAGGAGCAGTGGACACCAGAGCCTGCAATAAGCCAGTGGGGGTGTCTGTGTTCACAGAAGGGGGCAACGGCGGATTTCTTCGATCAAAAGGTGGAGCGCCCTCGGGTTGGAGGAGGACCTGATTAGCGCGGAGCTTCTTTGATAGCTTAGGGTTCAGTAACGCGGGCGAATTAGCTTTCAGTAGGTCTAGAAACACCTCCATCGCATCCAGAGAAGGGTCCGGGGAGTCAAGGCGAGGTGAATCCGGTCGTTTAGGGGCAGATTCCGGCATGAGCGTCCCTTGCATCGCAGGAAATGGTTACTTTGAATTGCTCCAACTATCATGTTTGGAAAGAAAAGATGGAAGACCTTTTTTTGAAGGACTATTATTTAGATGTGTTCGCTACGAAGCCGAATAGCAAAACAGCAGTCCCGCTCCGTATTCTCAGAATACGTTTTTCATATAAAACAAACTAGTGGGCACTGCCCACCGTGGGCAGGGGAATATATTTAAGCAAAACAGATACACTTAACAAATTTGATATAACATAAATTAATGATTTATTTATGAGATTGTTGGTCCGTTTTTAATATATCGTACTTAGCTAAATATTTATGTTAAGTTAGGTAGAATTGCAAATAAGTTTTTATTTTCATATTTTTTTCAATACTTTTGCAATCATTAAAGCATACATGTAAATTTGCCTTTTCTAGTACCAAGGGATTGAATATTTTATCAGTTTGGAGGAATCTGTTTAGCTATTTTAAAGTCCACATTGTGACCAAGGAAGTAGTTAGCAGTTTTAAGTATAGTTTTGGTAAGTTTAAGGAGTCATGTTCTTGTAATCTCAATTGCGACTGATTTACTAATGAAAGAACTCTAACGAATAGTGGAACGCTCCCGTAAACAAATTTGTTTATTTGTCGTTTCCACTTTTAACTTTTAACTTCTGTGTTTATCCGCGTTTTGGGTACTCAACATACTCCCGCGCAACTTGTCATTGTCTTTCTTGCATGCATCAACAGGCAACAATCAAGTGTTATAATATTTATTGAGGAATGATAGTCTGAAGCCAACTTTTACAAATACATTCCAAATGTTCTTACCCGAACAAAACTACATTACACAACACTAGTGACAAAAAAACTGCACATATATGTACAATCACTATCTCGAGTGACATTTGTTTAATAAATACCAAAAAGCCAATGATCTTTGCATATAGGGTAAACAGTGTAGTTTAGTTCGTCCTACTGCACAAAATTGATGCTCAGAGAAGTCCTGGTGTTTCTGAACAGCGTCGAATAATATAAACTCAATCACTCTTTTCGAAGGTTTGTGGTTTACTGCTAGCTAGAGTCAACCATACAATCGTACCAGTAATGTAGAAGAAGATTGATGGCGCAAACAATGACAACTATATGGAGAAAAAAAAAAAATAGATAAGAAAATTAAACAAAATGCATAGCATTGATAAGAAAATATTAAAATTGAAGGACATAATTTTGAAAATTTTAAGGTAAGTAAATTACCCCCCATGAGTGGGTCGAATCAAGAAGATAACCAGTGAGAGCAACACCGATGATTCCAGGGACTGCTCCAACAGTGTTCGTAATGCCCTGCACGAGTGTCTTTAGTTTACTTTTTTGACTCGATAACTGAATATGCATATACAATTCAAATTCATGACAAGAACAGTATTCGAGTCTGTTTTCGAATTTATAGATATCTCTCATTAGGTATTACAAATAACCTCAGTGGTAAGTATTTGTTTACAGAAACTACCGCCATGCAAAGGTGCAGAATGTGAAATGAAAGCATGTGCTAAAGGGGTGTTTGTTTAGGTGAATGAATTTACGTACCAAAAGAACACTTGCATATTCAGGTGACATGTCTTGATGGGTGCAGTATAGGCCTGGACTCGAGAAATGACAGGATAAAGGTTTTTAGAGGAGATTACATATTTCAGCTCAACAAATTCAAAACATATAACGGAACTCTATAAAGTTGGTACCTGATAAAGCAAAACTAGATAGAGCTAAGCCACCTGTAAGAATTGAAACAACTTCCCAAGGACTCAGTCCTAAGTCGACAGAGGAAAGAATCATGCAAGTCGCGGGAGACAGGAATGCAATTGTTTGGCAGATTTTCCGTACCTGATATAATAAATATCACAAGACTACTTTTTTGTTTTACAAAAGGACAGATAACATGTTAAAATTTGAGTATATATGTACCACTGTGGTTTCAACTCCCTTTGCAATCATGCTGTCAGCAAATTGGGATGCGAAGCCCGTGACAAAGATTGAAGCTAATGGAGGAAGAACTGAGACCTGCAATAGAGAATATGTTTATTACGTTACGTTTCGAACAGAACAAATATCAAAAGTACCTATAGCGCAGGATATCATTTTCTTATTCGGAAAGTTCTGGAATATATGCCAGCATTGTTCATAACTTGCTATTACTCATACTAGAAATATATTCGATGATATGTGATAAATAGAATACAGAAAAACTCAGCTACCCAATTATATCGAGGTAAAACTGGTGGTGAAGTTTTCAAAATTGCTAAATGTTCAATCTAGACATGCTTTATTCAAGAAAGGTGCTCGTTATTAGACAATCAGCTTGATTTCCGCAACAATACAGTTTAAATGCCAACGTTTCCTCCATTTGATACTGTTTCTGTTTACATGATATTCACATCAACCAACTGAGCCTCGTGATAATGAATTTTTAATCATGAGCCGTATATATGTTTTATTCATGTGTTAGTTTCCATGATCCATGGTTGGTCTACACAATGACATCCTGAAAAAAAAAAAAA